CTGGAGGTGCTCGTACTGGAGGTACTGGAGCTGCTGCGGGGGTTGGAGCTGGAGGTACTGGAGCTGCTGGGGTTCCTGGTGGTGCTGCGGGAGTTGTAGCTGGAGACCCTGGGGCTGAGGGTGCTGGTGCTGTCTCTACTGGTTCAGCAGGTGCTGAGCGGCCGCGGCCGTACTACGTTCCGCTCCTTCAGCAGGTTCTTGGACTCCCGCCCTCCACTGTTCTTTCTCCTCCCCTACTGAGTCCACCACCTGTCCAGTCGCAATCACAGTTACCGCTTGCCTCTCCGCTGCCTGGTCCTTCTCCTTACGCTGGGCCGACTAGAGGTCTTACGGAGCGTCGTGAGCCTGAGTCTCGTCCTGCGTCACCTGAGTCTCGTCCTGAGTCGCCTGAGTCTCGTCCAGAGTCGCCTGTTCGCGCTGTCCGCGCTGGTCGTCGTGCTCCGCGTCAGCGTCCTCCTCCTGTACTTGGCACTCACTATATGACTCTGCGTCCTTCCACTGCTCCACAGCGTGTCCCTCTGCCGTCTCCTCCTGCGTCCTCTCTTCCTGACGTTGCTGACCCGCCGTCAGACCTTGCTCGTGCTGCCAGTCCTACTGTCACGCGTCTTCTCGCTACTGTTGTCACTGACCCTTCCTTTGAGTCCACTGCTGCGTCTGCTCTAGTTGCTGAGCTTTCTGACTTTGCTGCTGCCTGTCGTCTAGACTACGCCGCTAGCCTTGTTGCTGAGTCTGAGTCTGTCTGTCCTCCGTCCGTCGGGGGTGAGTGTGCTCTTGGCACGGACGTCCTTGAGGACAGACAGGAGGTGTTTGAGTGCTTTGCCGCGGCTTTACCTCATCTCGTGTCCATGCTGATTGCCCCTGAGGGAGACCCGGATGCACCAGACATCCCGACCCCGCGCTCTTACGCAGAGGCGATAGAGGGTCCCTACTCCTCTCAGTGGCAGACAGCCATGGACGCAGAGATGGCTTCCTGGAAGTCCACAGGCACCTACGTCGACGAGGTTCCCCCACCTGGGGCGAACATCGTCAGTGGCATGTGGATTTTCAGGGTGAAGCGGCCACCGGGTTCTCCGCCTGTCTTCAAGGCGCGTTACGTTGCACGAGGCTTCAGTCAGCGAGAGGGAGTTGACTTCTTCCAGACCTTCTCCCCGACCCCGAAGATGACCACTCTTCGGGTTCTGCTGCACGTCGCCGCTCAGCGTGACTACGAGCTCCACTCTCTTGACTTCAGCACTGCTTTCCTACAGGGCAGCCTGCACGAGGAGATCTGGCTGCGCCGCCCACCTGGCTTCACTGGGTCGTTCCCTGCTGGTACCCAGTGGAGCCTCCGGCGGCCAGTCTACGGTCTCCGCCAGGCACCCCGTGAGTGGCACGACACACTGAGGACTACTCTTGTTGCTCTTGGGTTTGCTCCTTCTACTGCTGACCCGTCGCTGTTTCTACGCACCGACACCACTCTGCCGCCGTTCTACGTTCTCGTGTACGTAGACGACTTGGTCTTTGCTACTGCTGACACTGAGGCACTCGCCCACGTGAAGTCGGAGCTGCAGAAGAGACACACGTGCACAGACCTGGGTGAGCTGACAAGCTATCTTGGCTTGCGGATCACCCGGGACAGAGCACAGCGCACCATCACCTTGACCCAGTCACACATGGTGCAGCAGGTCCTTCAGCGCTTCCGCTTGACGTACTCCTCGCCTCAGCCCACTCCTCTGCCTACCGGTCACTCGCTCTCAGCTCTGCCTTCGGATGAGTCCGTAGAGCCGAGTGGCCCGTATCCAGAGCTTGTGGGCTGCCTCATGTACCTGATGACCTGCACTCGACCTGACCTTGCATACCCTCTTAGCATCCTAGCACGCTATGTCGCTCCTGGCCGTCACCGGAAGGAGCACATGGATGCTGCTAAGAGGGTGTTGCGCTACTTGTGCAGTACGTCGGGCATGGGGCTTGTGCTTGGAGGACGGAGCGACGTTGTCCTCACTGGGCACTCAGACGCTTCTTTGGCTGACGACCAGGCTACGCAGCAGTCGTCTCAGGGTTACACCTTCAGCCTTGGCTCTGGTTCAGTTTCTTGGCGTTCTACACGCTCGTCTTCAGTTCTCAGCTCCAGTTGTGAGGCTGAGATCTACGCCACAGCCATGGCTACACAGGAGTTACGCTGGCTCACCTACCTGCTGACCGACCTGGGAGAGCGGCCTCGTTCTCCTCCAGTGCTGTACGTCGACAACAAGGCCGCCATTGCCTTGTGTCAGGAGCACAGACTGGAGCACAGAACGAAGCACATCGCTCTGCGCTACTTCCTTGCTCGAGAGTTGCAGCAGCGTGGTCAGCTTCGTCTTGCTTACGTGGCCACTCGGGCCAACACTGCTGATGTGTTCACCAAGGCGCTTCAGCCTTGTGATCATCAGCGTTTCTGTACTGTTCTAGGCCTTGTGCCTACTGTGCCTCACTTGCTTACTTCTTGACTCTACTTGTACTGTGATCTCTATATATATATACCTGCATGCTTACACTTGCTAGGTTGTGATCACTGTACCTCTTGTTATATTATCAAACTGCATGTGAACTGGTCTTGTGACCGCTTGCTTGTGCTCGGAATTTGTGTGGTATCCTTGAGATCCACCCTGAGCTGTGCTTTGCCTTGCTTTGCTTTGACTGGTCTTGTGACCATCTGGTTGTCTCCCACTTTGCCTATGGGGGTGTGTCAAACATTGTATATGTTTGTGTTCTGTAGGCTGTAGTGGGTTTAGCCTTAGGGGGTACAAATTCTAGGGTTTCATACTTGTACTCCCAACTTTCTTAGTTCAATCACTTCTCATTTCTGACATGTTTTAAATTCGCGCCATCATTTTCTCTTTTTTTTCGCCCGCTCCGAAGTCGCCACGTCGTCGCCCTTTTTCTCTCTTTCGGATATTTACGCGATCGCCAGGTCGATCCGCGGCTACTGGCGATTCCCGTTTTTTTACTTCGGGGGTGCTGCGCTGTTGCCGACCAGCAATTCCGCACGTGCTTTCTTTATCTTGTAACACGACAGGATCTGATGTCCGGCTGCGCCGCAAAATTCGCATTTTGTCGGCCGCGGCTTCGCGTCGATTCTGTCGACATCCATCGGTTCGGCGAACGTAGGGGGTGCCGATCGCTCCGTGCCGAAAGATCTGTTCGGCACGTAGCGTCGCGTTTCGGGTTGACCAGGCGTCAACGCGTCGTATCGCTCGGCTGCACGTACCATGTCGCGGTAGCTACTGTAGTTCGCAGCGATGACTTGTCGGCGTATCTCCATTTTTCAGCCCCTCGGTGTACGCTTGGATTTTTTCGCCTTCGGTCAGGTCGGTGATGCGATTAAATAACCCCTCCATCTGCTGCGTGTACTGCGCCACACTCCCGTACTGTTTCTGCCAGTGAATCTGCTGCTGCGCCATGTAGGTGAAATTAATCTGTTCAAATCTTTCGATTAGGTCCGCCCGAAACTGCGCCCACGTTCTTTCTCCGCGGCCCACGTCAATGTAGTAAATTCACTCGAGTGCCGGGCCTCGCAACAGTGTCGCTGCGAGACGAATCCTTGCTGCGTCATTTGTCGGGGTCGAACACCCAATGGCCTCGAAGTAAATTTCGAGGGTTGCCACAAATCGTCGAACGTCCGATCCCCTCGTGCTCGGATCGAACGCTTTGGGGAGCCTCGGGCGAGTTGCTTCGAGGTTCGGCGAAGGTGGTGCCACAGGTTCGTGAAAAGTCGGTGTCGCCGCTGCTGCTGCTGCTGTCGCTGCTACGTTCGCTGCTGCATTCACTGCTGCTGTGGCGGCTGCCGACTGGTTCGCGAGGAGTGCTTCGATTCGTTGAAGCGCCGCCCGCGTCTGGTCCATCTCCGTGTGAAGGGTTGCGACTTCGGTGACGAAATTGTCGCCAGCACCCTCCACTCCTGACATCGCGCGTTAGAGAAACCGAAAACGAGGGGGAGTGAAAAACACGGAACCGGTTTTACGTACCCGAAATCGGTGTTTAACGGTCGTCGACCCCGCAGTTTTTTTAAGACTGGGTTTTAGTGGTCGAAAAAACTTCGCGTGTAAACGACTCTAATTTCCAAGTGTGAAGATCTAGGATCGAGTTCAGAATTGAAGAATGAATATTGATTGATCCACCTGGGTACAACACGAGGCTATATATAGTCTCGACACAAGGCAGGTAACCCAGGTGTCACGCGAATGTTCTGAGGGTCGCGAATCTTCCCGAACAGAACCTTCCCGAACTTGGTAGAAAGCAATTCGGTGGGAATCGAAAGGCTTGAGTTCGGTACACGTAACCTGGATCGGTGCTATAACTATAATAGAATATAGGAATGCACCCAACCTAGGAAATCAAGCATATCTATGCATGATAAACTAAACCTAAGCTAGTGGTAGCGTAGTTAAGTAAAGGCAAGCAAGCATAGCTGGCATAAGCCGTCATACTCTCACACCCAAGACCCGAATTACACAACGAAGTCAACATAAAATTTGTAGGTTCGGAGAACCCCTGAATGAGGTTCGGTTGGAAAAATCAACAACCAACCCCATCGCAAACCAACTGAAAATCTGGACCAATCGCGTGAAAGTGGTGACACTTCTCCACTCGACTCGGTAATTCTGGCCTGGGCCTTTAAGGTTGCCTCACTCCCCAAAAGTGAGGCCAACCCAACCCAAATTGGCCTGAGGTTGCCTCACTCCCCACAAGTGAGGACAACCCAACCCAATTGCCAACATGTTGCCTCACTTCCCAAAGTAAGGTCAACCCAACCTATGGGCCATAGGTTAGCCCACCTTCTAGGTTCCCCTTCTTCTTCATCCTTCTCTTCCTTTGCATGTATACCCCAACTCTAATGAAGCTAATGGTTTGTTCTCAACTCCAATTCTCACATGGTATAGAGCTTAACTCCTTGGCTTAACCTCCTTCCCCCCCATAATTTTATTCCTCCTTGTTCCACAGGCCCACCCTTCCCCGCTTAGCCGCCGTGGCCTATATCGCCGATGCTGCCCTTAATTCCGCCGGCGCGGCCATTTCGCCACCGCCTGCGCCTTTCGCCGCCGCGGCCTGCTTGCCGCCGCCGCCCCCAATTTTGCCACCGCGGCCCTTCCGCCACCACCAGCGCCCCTCGTCGCCGCGACCTGCACGCCACCGCCGCCCCCGCCTCCGCCGCCGCGGCTCTTACGCCGCCGCCTGCGCCTCTCGTCGCCGCGGCCTGCTCGCCGCCGACGCCCCCAGTTTCACCGCCACGGCCCTTCCACCGCCGCCTGCGCCTCTCATCGTCGCGGCCCGCTCGCCACCGGCGCCCTCAATTTCGCCGCCGCGGCCCTTCCGCCGCCGCGTGCGCCCTTCGTCATCGCGACCTGCGTGTCACCGCCGCCCTCGGTTCCGCCGCAGCGGCCCTTACTCCGCCGCATGCGCCTCTCGTCACCGACGACGCCCCCAGTTCCGCCGCCGCAGCCCTTCCGCCGTCGCCAGCGCCCTTCGTCGCCGCGACCTCCACGCCGCCGCCTCCTTCGATTCTGCCGCCCCGGCCCTTCCGCCGCCGCCTGCGCCTCTCGTCGCCGCGGCCAGCTCGCCGTCGACGCCCCCAATCCCGTCGCCGCGGCCCCTTCCCCACCGTCGCCCGCGCCTCTCGTCGCCGTGGCCTGCTCGCCGTCGCCGCCCCTGACTTCAACGCCGCGGCCCGTTACGCTGCCGCCTGCGCCTCGCGTCGCCACGGCCTGCTCCCCGCCGACGCCCCCAATCCCGCCGCCGCGGCCCCTTACGCTACCGCCTGCGCCTCCCATCGCCGCGACCTGCTCGCCGCCGCCGCCCCCGACTTCGCCACCGCGGCGCCTTCTGCCGTCGCCTGCGCCTTCATTACCGCGGCCTGCAAACCGCAGCTGCCGCCCCCGATTTCGCCGCCGCTGCTTTCCCCTCCACGTCGCCTGCGCCCTCATTGCCGCGGCCTTCGCACCACCGCCTCCCCTTCCCGCCGCCGCACGTTCGCGCATCCGCCTGCGCCCTTGTCACTGCGGCCGCTACGCCGCCACCACTCTGCACCTCGCCGTCGACACCTGCACGTCGCCGCTCCCTGCGCCTTGAATGCCGCCGCCTTCCAACCGCCGTCTCCCTCGTCCTTTACCCCTCTCCCTCCCCCCGCCAGCAGCAGCAGCAGCAGCCGGAGGTACCGCAGCAGCGGCAGGAGGAGGAGTGCAGCGGCAGCAGCAGCGGGTGGAGGAGTGCAGCAGAATCAGCAGCGGCAGCAGTAGCACCAGCAGCAGCAGTGCAGTAGCAGCAGCAGTAGGAGGAGGAGTGCAGCAGCAGCGGCAGCAGATGGAGGAGTGCAGCGGCATCATCAGCGTGAGCAGCAGCAGCAGGAGCAGTGCGCCAGCAGCAGCAGCAGCACGGGAAGTGCAGCAGCAGCAGCAGCACCAACAACAGCAGGCGGAGGAGTGCAGCAGCAGCATCAACAAGAGGAGGAGTGCAGCAGCAACAGCAGCAGGAGGAGGAGGAGTGCAGCAGCCCCAGCAGCAGCAACCTCCCCTTGGCCGCCGCGGGTCCACCCGCCGTCGCCTCACCCTTGACCGCCGCGGGTCCACTAGCAGTCGTCTCACCCTTGGCTGCCGCGGGTCCACCCGCCGTCGCCCTTCATGGCTGGTACCCCCCCTGCCCCTCTCCCCCCTCCCATTGACGCCTCTTACGTCGACAAGCTGCAACTCGCTGCGGACCGATCGGCCATTTACTGGCATTCCTTTGTCGGCAGCATTCGCCGCGTCCTCTAGGACGCCTTCGTTTTGCCCTACTGCGTCCTTGACGTGCTCCTTCGACGTGCGTACGCTCTCCAGCCGACAACGCCCAATCACCCTGGTGAACCTCCTCCTCTCCCCCCTCCCCTTGGCTCTCCTCCTCCCGAGCCTAACCTGGAGATAGCCGCTACCAACGAGCTTCAAGCTGCCGCCGACGCCACCTTCCTCCACCGTCGCCGCGAATTCCTCATCCGCTGTGCACAACTACGAGTTCGCGTTGTCGGACCGTGACACTCGCCTGGCATTGATTGCTGACTACAACACGGCCGTGGCACTTCACATCCCCAATAGTATCGCCTGGGCCGCTGCCGACAATCGCGCCTGCACCATCCTCCTTGGTGCACTCCCGGACGCCCTCATGCGCCGCTTCCAAGCTCGTGAAATGCGAGCCTCCTTGATTTGGGCCGAGCTCCAGGCAATGTTTGAGCGTCGCGACATCAGCTCCGTCGGCGTTCTCTTCCGGGAATACTTCTCCATTTCCCTCGCCACCTGTGACGGCGCAGTCGACTATGTGGGACGCATGTAGGAGGTCGCCGATCGCCTTGCGGCTCGTCAGGCTGCCCTCCCCAAGCCCCTGCAGATTCACCGTCTGCTCTTCAACCTCACACCGGATTACGAGTCCCGTCTGCACGCCTTCACCGAGGCAAACCCCATGGCTGGCCTCAACGAGGTGGTTCAGTGGATCACTGACACGGAGGTCAAGCTCCGCACTCCCATTGTCAACCTCACCACCCCTCAGTCCTCCTCCTCCACCTCCCTCAATGCCACGCAGCCGCGCAACCTAGGTCGTCGCAACGGCGGCGGAGGTGGTCGCAACGGCGGCTGAGGTGGTCCTGGAGGGGGCGGAGGTGGTGGTGGTGGTCGGGGCGGTGGTGGTGGTGGTGGCCATGGTGGCCGTGGTGGAGGTGGTGGTGGTGGTGCTGGTGGTACCACTACTGGTGCTTCCTCTGGTGCCGGTGGTGCTGTGAGTCGTGGAGGTCGCCCAGACACTCTCCCCCCCTGCACGTATGTCCGCCGTCATGGTCCCCACGCCGGCACGCCCTGTGGTAAGACCAACCACCCTCCTGTCACGTGCTTCAAGGCGCTCGATGACGCCTGCTTTGATCGCGGCAACACTGGCACCCCTCCTCGCTGGAACAGTGTTACCCCTCGCCCCTCCCTCGTGGACATTCAGACCCTCCCCTCCTTCCTCCCTACTCACCTCCGCCTGCTCACCCCCTCCCCTTCTTCCCAGCTGCAGCAGTTTCAGCAGCACCAGCAGCAGCAGCAGTACTTCCAGCAGCAGCAGCAGCCACCGTTTCTCCAGCCGCAGCAGCCGCAGTTTCTCCAGCCACAGTTTCTCCAGCCGCAGCAGCCGCAGCAGCAGCAGTACTTCCAGCAGCAGCAGCCGCCGTAGTACCTTCAGCCGCAGTGGCAGCATCAAACGATGACCTTCGGCACAGCGGCCATAGCCGCTCACGCCTCCCTTGCTCCCCCCCCCTGGGGTTCCGTCCCCTCTGCCCCCCCCAGTGTCCCTGACTCTCAGGGCAGTTTCCTTGGTCATGTTGCTGTTGCACCATCTGTCGATTCCATGTATCCCTCTGCTATCAATGAGACGTCCTTCTAGTACTCCGTGTCACCTCCCCCTCCTTCCTCCCCCACCCTGGACTTTGTCCTTGATAGTGGGGCCACGGAAACTGCACTAAAGGACGCTGACACACTCACCCCCCTTCCTCTTCCCACCCAGGTCCATGGTGCCGACACCAGTTTTTCCATCCCCTGCACTCACCTCTCCATTCTTCCTTGCATCGCCTTCCCATCCGGTACAGTCACATGTCTCCACATTTCCACCCTTCGCAACAACCTCCTCTCCCACCGTGAGCTGCAATGCGCTGGTATTACCGCCATCTACCCTGGCCATGCTTCCTACTGTGACCTTTACCACACTGCCTCTAGTCGCTTCCTCTTGCGCATTCCCCTTTGCCCTCGCACTCGCCTTTATACACTCCGCACACCCCGTTCCTCTTTTTGTCAGGTCACCACTCGTGCTGGCACTTCCACCGGTCCCCCTCCCCCTCCCCCTCAGGTATCCTCCTCCCCTACTCCATCCCCCTCCTCCTCCCCCCCACTCCCCCTCCCCCACTCCATCCCCCTCCTCCTCTACTGACCTCTCCCACCCTGCCGTGCTTTTGCATCACGGACTTGGCCATCCCAACTTCGCCTCACTTCGCACTGCCGTCACCTCCCACCTCCTTGACAGCCTTCCTCCCACATTACCTCCCCTCCCCTCCTCCCCTGCTCCCCCATGCCCATCATGAATTCATGGCAAACTCAAACAGTCCCCCCATCACAGTCATCCCACCTTTGCCGCCGCCCCCATTGATCGTGTTCACATGGACCTTTGGGGCCCCAATCCTATCCGATCCCGTCAGGGGCATTGGTGCATGCTCGTCCTCGTCGACGACCACAGTCGGTACTCCACCGTCTTTTTTCTTCACACGAAAGACCAGGTGCCGGCTGTGGTCATCAACTGGGCTAAGCTGTGCCGCACTCACTTCAAACGCCCCATCGGCCGCCTTCACTCTAATGGTGGGGGTGAGTTCATGAACCATACCCTCTCCACTTACTGCAAAGCATACGGCATCCAGCAGGCCTCCACCATCCCCCACTCCCCTCAGCAAAATGGCATCGCTGAGAGTCGCATTCGTGAGAACACCAAGATTGCTCGTTGCCTCATTGCTCAAGCCTCCACCCCTCCTTCCCTCTGGAGCTATGCCCTCCTTCATGCCGCCCTCCTCCTCAATCTCTTCTCCCACCCTCAGCATCCTTCCTCCTCCCCCACAGAACTCTGGTCTAAGGCCAAGCCTGACGCTGCCGGCCTTCGCGTTTGGGGCTGCAAGTCGTTCGTCCTCATCCCACCGGCCGATCGCTCCCGCGCTGCTGGCAAGCTCGCCCCTCGTGCCCTGGAGTGCGTCTACCTCAGGCACAATCGCGATTCCACAGGCTACCTGTTCCTCCACCCTCCCTCCAATCGCCTCATCAGCAGCATTGACGTCGTCTTCGACGAGTCCATTCCCTACTGCTCCACTCCTCCTCCTGACCCTCTCCCTCCTCCCTCTCGCCCCCTCACCTGGACCGACACTGTCCTTCCACCTCTCCTCCCTGCTGCGCCTCTCCTCCCCCCTGTTGCCACTCCACTCCCGCCTTCCTCCTCTGCCGACATCTACAATCCTGCCGCACCTGCTTCCCCGGCCCACTCAGCTGCACCCCCTCCCCCCTCTCCCTCCTCCTCTTACTCTCCCCCTTCGCCACAGCGGTAGGGGCAGCAGCAGCAGCAGCCGGGTCCGCAGCAGCAGCAGCAGCAGCCGGGTCAGCAGCAGCAGCAGCAGGGGCAGCGGCAGCAGCAGCAGCAGCAGCATGGGCAGCAGGGGCAGCAGCAGCAGCAGCAGCATCATCAGCAGCAACGACGAGCGACTTCCCGCTCCTCCCCTTTCCTCCTACCTCCCATGCATACCCGCTCCCTGGACAAAGTCCTTGGTACCCCTCCTCCCTCCTCCATTCAGCTCCTCGACGACTCCCATGAGGAGTTCCTCAACATTCAAGAACACACTCCTTTCTTTGCCTCCCTCTACCTTGACTTCCTCGGCCTTCCTGTCCTTGGCGCCACCTCCAACACCACCATCTTCACTCCCACCATCTTCGTGAGGCATTCATTCGCAACGACTCCTTCGTCGATGTCCTCTTCCCAGCCGACGCCAACCTCGTCGAGGGCAAGTGGTTCTTTCGGGTGAAGCAGCTGCCAAGCGAGGAGCCGGTCTACAAGGCCTGCTACTGCGCCAAGGGTTTCACACAGACTTGGGCTGTGAATGTCTGGGCCACCTTCACCCCCACCCACCATAGGAGTAGGCTCAGCAACAGCAGCAGAGGCAACGGAGATAGTGACCAGGCGGAGCTCACCCCTGAAAGATAGGGGGGACAGGCGAACCAGTGGAGGAGGCTATGGCGCGAAGGTCGGTCTCGACCTCAGTGAGACGAGTCTCAAAGAGCTCATTATTGAGGCCCGTGGGGTGGATGGCGAGAAAGGTGTCGCGAGCACGCGCGGGGCGGTCAGGGAGGCGGTTCATGAGGAGGTACAAGGTGGTATACATGGGGGGCACGTGCTCAACAAGGATCACAGTAGTGCAAGCTGCGTGGAAGATAGCGTCAAGCTAGCGTAGGTGAGAAACAAGGCCAGCGACGGTGAGGTACGCAGGGAGATCAGGAAAGAGGAAGGATAGAAGGTGGCAACCTAGAGTAGCAGATGAAGGAGTGGATTAGCGAGCAATAACACTGTCAAAACACTCCTTCGCTGTCTCCACCTAGCGAAAGTGCTCCCGCTCAGCCTATGGGAGGTGGCAACCGATAGCAAGGCGCGTAGAAGCGTCGCGCGCCTCCCACTACGTCCGCTCAAGTCGAGGCGCGCAATACTCCTCCTTCTGCACCCTCGTGGGGTCAGTAGAAAGAGCAGGAGGATGCGGCGGGGCAAGGAGCTCACCCGAAGCGTGGTTGTACAGGGAGATGTCCTGCTGAAGCTGGCTCCCCAGATAGAGCTTGACTTTGAGCAGCCAGGAAACGAAGTCGATCGTATGGCCCTCTGCGTCAAAAGACGGACTCAGACTCCATTATAGCAGGAAGGGGCATAGTCGCGGCAGGCGAGAGGAAACGGCCACAGGACGAGGTTACCGGCAACGGGAAACCCTAAATTGCAGATGTAGACACAGCGGAGGGTGCTACTGTAGGGCACGGTAGTGAGGGCTGTAGGCGCACGTCAGGCACGAGCGGCAGCGGCACGGGCTCGGCAGGCACAGGTGCATGCGCAGCAGGCTCGAGCGGCGACGTCTGGGCCGCGGCGGGCGCTTCTAGCGTGGCTGGCGCTGGCTGGCGCTACTGGCACGGATGGCGCGGCTTGCGCTTGCTGGCGCTACATGTGCCGTTGGCACCGCTGGCACTGGTTGGCGTGGCTAGGAAGCATGGGCAAGGGCGCAGCAGGTGCGGGCAGCGGCGGCTTGCGCGTAACGGGCGCTACAGCGGGCCGACGGACGCTACGGGGCGCGAGGCGACGGGGGGGAAGGGGGCAGCGTGGCAACGGGGCTAGCAGGGCGGCAGGCTAACGGGGCGACAGGGCCAGCGGGGCGACGGGGCCAGCGGGGCGACGGGCTAGCAGGGCCAGAGGGGCGACGGGGCTAGCGGGGCGACATGGTCTAAGGGTCATGACGGCGCCAGCGGGGTCGACAGGGCCTACTGGTGCTAGGGCGCTAGGGGACACTAGGTAGGTAGGTAGGCCGGACGGAAACGTGTGACCTAACCAAAGCGCGTGATACCATGACATAATGAGAATCTGTGAGTAGAATGAGAGCGTACAGTTGGCCTATCTAGCAAACCTGTACTCCCTATAGTGCAATTTAAATCTAAATAGGCAAGACAAAAGGGGGATTTAGGGTTCCACCCGCCGGATAGGGGACCCCCAGAACTCTTTTTTTGACTGGTCGTATATACGGGAAAATGTTGTAAAAGGAATAGATTTATAGTGTAGATTTAACAAAGCTTTCCTCTGGGGGTCGTGAACAAATTATTGAGGGGGGGGGGGGGGGAGGGGACAAATATAGGCGCATTTGCATGTCTGTATGAAAGCGCTGTCTGAAACAGAAGAACGGAATGATGATTGACTAGCAAGGTTGGGATACGAGTAGGAAACCCTATAGCCTAGTATGCATATTTGCAGTTTGACACACCCCCATAGGCAAAGTGGGGGACAACAAACGGTCACAAGACCAGTCAAGAGAAGAAGCAAAGCAAAGCTCAAGGTGGATCTCAAGATCACCACACAGTCCGAGCACAAGCAGTGTTATAACAGCAAAAGCAGTACAATGATCACAACCTAGCAGGTGTACAAATGCAGGTATGAATATATATAGCAGAGTACATCAAGACTTGAACGAGACAAGAGCAA